TTTACTTGTGTCCCAAAAAAGGCTGCAGAGTCGCTCAGCCGGGAGAGCAGTTGGTCACAGCCTGGGGACGGCGGCACAAGGAGAGGGCAGGGGAGCGCAGCACACTCACAGCCCAGCAATGCTGGTGAAAAACAGCCTTTTGCTGAGTAACGTGGAAATGGATCTGAAACATAGGGATTAAATTTCTCCGAAAATAAACACAATTTTTAAAGGAAAGGAAAAGTACTTAGCCACAATGTTTGAGGTTTTCGTGAACCCAAACCTTTGGAAAACTAGCACACGAGCGAATTACTCGGTGCCTGTAACGCGGTCAGCTTTGAAATAGGGCTTGTCATAAACCACCGGTTTGTTTTTTAAAAAATTTCCTTTTTACCGTTTGCCCAAATCTGCCGTCCTCCTCACTCCTCTTGAGGTCCATTCCCGTTGCTCCTTACAGGAAGGAGAACAGTTCTGTGCACTCCCTGTCACCTGAGGGGCTCTGGAGACCCAGGAATCAGGGGGCGCCTGAGGAGACCAAGCTGGGAATAGCTGCCCCCACCACACAGCAAGGACGAGAGCCCTGGGAAGAAGGCAGGTGCATGATGCACTGGACTAGGAGCTGGACAGATGCCCGAGATGCCATCCTGTACTGGCTCTGTACCCTTGGGCATCCGTGTCCACACTGCCCACCTGCAGACACCACTGCCCTCTCAGGGGAGTGGAGGCAAAGAGGGCACACAGCATGGTGAGAGCCAGCAGCAGCCACTGCATCCAAGTGGACAGTTAAGTCCACTGACCACCCCCCAGAGAGTCCCATAGGATCCAGGGAATCAGTGTCTGGTCAGGGCAACCTGGGAGCCAGCCTCTGTCCAGCCCTAGGAAGCAGGGACTAGCTGAATCCCCACCATCTGGGAGTCAAGTCCGCAGGTAAGGGTGTTCCAGTCTCCATGGCGATGGGGGCTGATGCCAAGACTTCTGGACGTAAGTCCAGATGTCCCCAGATAGCAAGGCTGCTGGTGGCCCACCAGCACTCCAGCCTTCCCTGACACCACCCAGGTCAACAGGTTGTTGGTCTGGCAGGCAGAACGAGCCCCAGGCAACTGCAGATGCCTGTCCCGGGGGAACCTCATGTGCCCCGGCCCCTCGTTGGGGTTCCTCACATATGCAGAGGAGTCCTTCCAGAAATGAAGTCCTCTCTAAATTCTCGACACTGAACACATCCTACTTTCGTCACCTTATATCAGTCATATGATCATGCTTGTAGAGCTGGCTCTGTGCCCAGAGGATTTCTTCAGATTCCTTTCTAAGGACTGGGACCACCCATCAGGGAGGGGGGGCTCTCTTTGGGCGTTGTCCCATTCAGAGCATCAATTTCCTCCTTTCGGAGCAGCTTTGTAAGAAGCACAGAGGGGTCACAACTTGAACTGAAACCTTCTGCCTCACCCTGGACCAGCAGAACTTTTCCACTCTTAAACACTTCTGGCTCACAATCCCTTCTCAAATGCCATGTTCAAAAACATCCTGCATTCAGATTTGGCTCCTTTACACCAATGAAAAGGGGTGCAAGATCCTGGATGGGATTTGTCAAGTCTTATACCCTGGAAATAAGCTATTTTTTTTTCTCTTGCCACTTCTTTATAGAATTTGAAAAGTCTTGGGAGATTAGACAAGATTGATTGACAGGCTGAAAACAAAAAGCCCATTTTGCAAGAAGCCCACGGCTCTATTTGCTTCCTCTAGGGGTCAGCCACAGCTTCAGGTTTCTGAACCAGCACCTGTCACATATGCGTCCCCACTGGTACCCATGCACACGTGTCAGACTGTCACACACAGGATATTCTGGTTTCATGTCATTGAGAATCATTGACATGAAAACCAGCAAGACATGCAGAATATTAAGAAGACCTACCGAGATGAACCACAATAAAACCAAGATAATGTCATCATATGGCTGCCACAAGCAAAATGAAATTACTCAGTTTCCAGACTGTGCTCCTTAGGACCCTTAGAGTCCTGTATGAAGTCCCCCTGGGGTCCTGAAGACAAAAACCAAGCCCCCACTCCCAGGCACAGCCAGTTTTCATCTGGTTTGTAAATGGAATTCATTGGAGGAAAAAAACTTTTTTATAGTTAAAGTAATTTTAAACTCCTGCTCTAGGAGATGAAAGGTCAGAGACCCATAGCTGCTCCAAAGGACGCTCTCTTCTGCCAGGAGCAGAGCAGGCTCTGGGAGGGTAAGGAGCTTGTGCACCTGAGGCAGGTGAGGAGCTTCACGCAGCCAAGAGGTTGCAGGAGCAAGAGGCTTAGGCCTGTCTGTGCTTCTGGACCTTTCCCCGTGGCCTTCTCTGTGAGTGGAACGCCTTCTGAACTCCACTCCCCACATCCCGCCTTTGCCCCACCAGAAAATTCCCGTAAATTCCTCTAATCCTTGCGGACTTTCTGCCCTCTTCTCAGGGAAGCTTCCTGGGATGTCCTCCGCTTCTCCTTCCCCTAGCAGACCCCTGCCGCCATTGCTCCTGACCCGTCCATCCTGGCCCCGTGACACCGCACAGCAATCTCTCACTCAGATATTTGGGCCCCACACCAGACTCTTAGCTCTGCAGGGCAGGGACCACGGACACGACTCGGCCTCCCTCATGGCCAGCACAGACCCTGCATGTAGACAACCAAAGCCCCGTGCTCGCTTCCTTCTGTTTCTGGGTGTGGCCACGGGTGACAGAATGTGACTGGGCTGACCAGAACGCATCTGTGATGACCAGCTCAGGCCCAGAGGGAGGCCACAGGGAGGCAGTCAAGGAAGACAATTGAGATTTAAATTTCATTTTCAGGTTCAAAAAGAAAAGAAAAAAAAAAGGTTGTGATCTTTAGAGCCAAGTAGAGTTGTTTAAATGTAAACATGCCTTCTCAGTGTCTGGAACCAGAGTGAGATCAAATTCCCCGAGTGATCTCTTAATACCACCGAAATTACGCTCAAATGCCTCTGCCAGGCAGAGATAAAGTGCCATTTGCACGATGGTCTTTGCACTTAAAAGTAACTTGGTCCAGGGAACTTTGAAAAATTTATTATGACAGGAAAAAGGGGAAACTCAAAGGAGTTCAAGACATTTAGTCTACTGATAAGACAGCTTAGGAGCGATAATAATTATCTCCAAGAATTTGAAGGGTCGTTATAAGGTCATTAGGAGGATGCAGGCCAGCTGGGCCCCATCTACTCGGACATCAGAAAGTGACTTAAATTACACCAAAAAGAGTTGAGTTTGAATTGCAGAAAGTGGGCAACGACGGAGGCCCTGGCGACTCAAAGGGAGGCCCACGGACCGGCAGCATCACCTGGGAGCTCATGGGAAATGCAGATGCTCAGGCCCACCCCAGTTCTGCCCAATCAGAACATGCATTTTAACAAGCTCCCCCATGATTCATTTGCATATTCAAGTCTAAGAAGCTCAGTCCCACAGGCTGCGTACATGCGTTACGGCCCCAAAGACCAGGAAAACAGCATGAACTCCTGACCCCAGAGAAGGCCAAGCGGTGTGGCAGCCTCCTGGGGAAGGCTGAGGCCCTACCCCCCCCCCCCCCCGTGATGTCTAGAAACAGGAGTGGCAGTTGTCTGGCATGGACACTTGACATGCCAAGGGGACCGGCTTCTAGACGTGCCTCCCCGTAAGAGGAGATGCCTATGGTTGAGCTCCTCCACGGACAGCTGAGAGAAAGAATCCACGGGGTTCTCAACAGCAGTTGCCTTCTCAGAGCACTTTAAACCCAAGTTGTATCTATATCTATCCTGTGGCTGCACTTGCAGAAGATTCAAAGATAAGGCAGCAGCAATTTCCCAGTGCAAGGAGCCGAAGTGTCCAGAGCCAGAGAAAGAAACCAGCTCTGAGCCAGCGCCAGGGGGAGGAAGGCCAGCCTGTGCCCCGGGGCTCGCGCACCTGCAGGGGTGGGAAGGGAAGGACAGCATTGCGGTCCTGGAGCCAAGCTGAGCTCAGAGAGGGGCCCTGGAAAACAACAGGGGCAGGGAAGACTGGCAGCTCCTCTCCCTCTGGGTGGGGAAGTGTGTTTCCTGGCACCGAGGGGACTAAGCAGAGAGCAAATGTATATTTGATGACATTTCTCTGCGGGCAGCCTCCCTTCTGAAAAGCCAAGTTTGAATAAAGCCTGGCACCGGAGCGAACAGAGGAAGAAGACAGGATTGGGGAACCCCGCAGAGAGGCTGGGATGGCCCCTGGAGGGGTGGGCTGGGGCAAAGAGCTGCAGATATTAGTGAGAGTCACCATGAGAGTCCCCAAAGTCCCACCCAATGGAGCACGGTTTCCACGTGCCAGGCTCTTGAGAAAGGAGACCCAGGGCCCAGCCGAACAGCTGGCAACACAGTCAAGAGGAACTCAGCCGTGAGCAGTCTTGGTCCGTACCAGCACCACCCCTGACCTCCTAGTAACCCGACCAGACACAGAAGAGTAAGGAAGTGATCTGTCCCCGTTCACTGTGGAAATGAAACCGAGTCACCTCCTTATAATGGTAAAAACCAAACCAAAGGAGAAACCGACACATTATTCTGAGGAGATCTAACATCTGGGTGATTGCCATCATGTGGGAAGAGGGGTGTAGCCTAGATGGCTCATGCATACGGGATCTTGTGGACGCCACCCATAAGCATCGCTGTTCTTTTTAAGAACCTGACCCCCATGCTTGCATTTCTCATTTGAGCTACAACTACAAAGGCGAAAGGCAGTCATCCTATAAATTACGCTGCTCTGCTGACACCACAGAAGGACGGAAAGGGGCCACTTAATCAGGGGCTTCAAAGGAGGATGAAGGGAACTGAATTCACCTCTCTCGTCTGCCGGCCTTGCCCACTGAATGCCACACTTGCCACGGTATCTGTCCATCCCAGTGACACAGACAAGGCTGCGACAGACAGACCGCCACAGGCCCAGTGGAGGGCCCCTCTCCACCTCTCACACCAGCCCCTCCTCTCGCTCCCTGCACCCCAAGAGTGTTCTGTAGTTCAACAGATATCCTACCAGAAAGCCGTGTGTGCTGGAACCAGAACCTGCACGGGAGTCCCGAGCAGAACGCCAGGACGTCAAGGTCAGCCAGGTCCCCCTGCTCCGTTCACATCACCGGGTAGACGAAAGTCGCAGACAGACTCCCAGCATCTGCAGACGGCATCCTTGAGCTCCTCTCCTTTCAGATGGAGGGGGCCAAGATTACTTCTGATCTATTAAGGGGGGGGGGGGAAAAAGATGGGAAATCTTAGAGCACCAGAATGTGAAACTGGCGGAAAACACACACACACACACTTTTTAGGAAAAGAAAATCTGACTGTAAGATTGGGCCCATTATCCAGACTTCTGTTTTCTGTCACACATTAGCGATTTCTACCAGACAGAAGCCCGAATGAGGAGCTGGAAGGAATCTTCAGATCCAGCCGAGACCAAGCAAGTGGCCGGTGCTCCAGAAAGAGTGAGTGTCTTGGTCAGGATCTCGCAGCTAAGCGAGGCTCAGACATGAAGGAATGTGCCCCCCGCGTGGTAGGGACCACTCAGGGGGCTCTGTCACAAGGTGCTCCCCGGCGCAGTAAACCCTCACTGCCCCCTGCAGTGATCCAGAAACAGGGCCACAAGGCCACTCGCCATCAACACCCAAGAGGACTTCACCCCCAGCAAGACAAGGGGGCCCCTTCTGAGCGCCTGCGTTCTCTTTAGAGAAAGATCAGGAAGAATCGGTGATCTGAACCAGAGGGCTGTGATAGTATTTTGAAAATGACTTACTTCATCTTTCCTCCAAGTGGCAGGGGTGGGAAAAAACACACGACTGATTCATCTCACACAAAAATTCTTCCATTTATCTTTGGATAAGGTTTTTTGTTTTCGTTTTTGTTTTTGTTTTTGTTTTTTTTTTGGCATTGCGGTCAGCTTCAGCACCTTCCTCAGTTCCACCAATGAGTTCTCGGACATGAAAATAAAGTGGAGATGGAGTCCCTACGAAACAAATACTGGGTTAGGGGAGAGAGCAGAGGGCTGGGAGCACAATTCAAAAGAAACACACAACGGTCTTGAAAATACACCTGTAATCGTTCCCCTTTTAAGAGCTTCCTCTGGGCTCAGCTCTGGGCTGAGCGTTCTACCTGGCACTACCTAATTCTCATCTGCGTCTGCAACGTAGATTTTTTTGGTCCCCACTTTACAGGCAACTTTTGACAAGTCACACACACTGTCTCCCCCCCCACCCAAAAAAAGATGATTGTTTTTACTCTCCATGGAACTTCATCGATCACAGACAAAAGACCCTCTGAATCTCTCGCAATTTTAAAGTGAAGAAAGATACACACTCCTGTGTACGTGGAGGTGAAAACAAGGAGAGCTCCAGCCAATGCCGTTTCTGAGCAGAAGAGGCAGATGTTTGTTTTCACGGAGGAACCCCTGCGGGTTCTCTCCACACGGTTTCCAAGCAACTAACTTGAAAATTCATCTCCTGGGCTAACGAGGAGGAACTGGAAGCCTCCTTACGAGTGTTATGCACCTCGGAGGAAAAGATGAGGATCAGAAAACAGCATTCTTGCTTTCGCAATTGCCTCCCAACACATTCTCCATGAACCTGTTCTGTTAGATTCTTCTCCACTCTGTCACTGTAACTGTGAAACAGATAGATGCTCCCCATATCGTATTTACTAGATAATTCAAGAAAACAGAACATGACCACGCGCCGGGCACAGAGAGCAGCCCGAGGGGTCCCTAATTAAGTCTGGCGCTCTCTCACCGCCTCAATCGGATGCTCAGCGTGGCACATTTATAAAACCTTTGAGGGGTCCCGCGGTGCCACTGAAAAGCCAGGGGAGTCCCCCGCGGCACCAGACCGGAGGTCCCGTCCAGAGCCCAGCGGCAGGCTGACCTAGGACCGGCCACAAACCACCGGCTCCCTTCAACCTCCCGAGCGGCTCATGCCCCTCGGGGCACGACACCGAGAGCTCCCGCAGCCCAGCTTCCCTCTCCTGCTGCCCTGCGCCCCGACGCCGAGTCTGGGAGCCAAGCGGCGACTTCCCCAGACCCGGGGCCACACAGCCGGCGTGGAGGAAGCGGCTGGGAGCTGTCCATGGTGGCGCCGCGCCTGGGCACCCAGAGCCGCGGCTCCCCGCCCCCGGGCGCGCCCGGCATCTCGCTCCAGACCGCCGGAATGGAGAGACTGGCTCCAGGGCTCACCGTCTCCGGGACGGGGCTGCAGCCAGGCACTGGCTCACACATCAAAAGGTTACTTTGAAAAGGGAGTTCTCACCTGTGGGCAGCGTTGGCTGCACGGAGCAGGACTCGGGACCTCAAACCAGGTTGCTGGAGGCGCGCCCGGGACGGCCGGCGTGTTGGACCCTCGCGGAACGGCGGTGGGCGCCGAGGGTGAGTCTGTGGCCAGGACCTCGGACTCCCTGATCTCCTTCCTCAGCAGCACATGCGTCCCGCCGGGGCCATTCCAGAAAGTCTCTGGCGAGCTGGAGACCTGGCCTGGGCCCTGGCCTGCGCTCCGCCAGGTCCCTGCCTTTCCTCCCAACCTAATTTGACCCTTCTTGGAGCAGACGGCCCTTGCCAGGGATCACCAAACCCTCTTCCAGCGATGCCACGTCTGGAATCTCAGTCTGAACATCAGCAGGGGCCCCCATGTCATCTAACACTCTGTTGCCTCCACCCTGTCCCGTGCCAGCGCCACGCTGGGTGCCTAGCGCTGTCCGGGAGCGCGCGAGCGAGGTGACAGCGGGAGGCGGAGGGGAAAACCAGAAGGCGGACCGCGCTGAGGACCGAGCAGCTGGGCGCAGACCTGTTGCCAGGCGCACGCCCACTAGTGCACAGCGTGAGCCGGCTCCCTGTCGGCTGGACTCCGGGACCCGACCCTCGGAGCAGTCCCTCCTCGGAGAGACACCGTCCTGGGCGCAAGACCCCCGAGCCATTCAGACGGGAGGACTCTACGGAAAGCAGCGATCTGCCCCCCGCCGCATGCTCTCCAGGCACACCGGCGCCCCCCGGCACCTGCCGCTTGCAAAGGGACACACGTTCTCAGAGAAATCTCACAGGGGACAGTGACAGGGGCGTGTGCCCATCAACAGACTTGTGGACAGACAGACAGACGAACTGCACAGCACAGAGTGGACAGACAAACAGAAGCCAATGACGGTACCGTTTTCCCTGTGACGCGTGGAGGCGCCGGACCCCGGTTTTCCTCTTCTCTCTGAGGCTCGGGCGGTCAGCGCAGCCCTGGCGCGCCGGGCCGGCCCTCTTACCTCCCGGTGGGCAGCCGAGACAGTGCCGCGCCTCGCGGGCCAGGAGCGCAGCGGCCGGAGCTGTCTGGGAGCACACGGACGGGCCCGGGAGCTCCCGGGACGCGGGCAAGCGCAGTGGTAGTTCGCTGGGGAAAGCGGGGTTCAGCGCAGCCCCGCCGGTCCAGGCACAGACGCCGACGCCGCCCGCCGCTTGCGCCCGCTCGCCCCGCGCTGCGCTGTGCTCTCCCCGCGCGCCTCCCGGCCTGCCCGAGTGGTGGCTTTTATAGCAGCGGCGGCCGCAGCGGGCAGCGCCGGGCTGGCTCCTCCCCGGGGCCCCTGACGCCCGCGCCACCGGCCCGCCCCCCACCGATGCTCCCCCCGCGCCCCGGCCGGACCCAGGCGGGCTCTGGCGGCCGCTCTGGGAGACGCAGACCCGAGCCCGTGGAGCCAGGCGCGCAGAACCCGGGCCGCAGCCGCCAGGGGAGGGCGCTGGAGCCCAGGACTGCGGCGCGGCGCCCGGGGCGCGTTCTGGGGCGCGGAGAGTACAGGGTCGCCGTGCGCGCGCGTACAGCCCCACTCGCGCCTGGTGGCTGCCCGGAAGGAGGGGAGGCCATAGAGGAGGGGCAAGGTCCCGCGGCTGCCGCAGCATCGCCGCCGGCCGGGATTCAGGGCTATGAAGTCTCAGAATCTTTTTTTTTTTTACTTATACGAAAAGGGTGGCCTTAGAAAGATATTCTGGGGGCCGGCCCGGTGGCCAAGTGGTTAAGTTCGCGCGCTCCGCTTCGGAGGTCCAGGGTTTTGCCAATTCGGATCCTGGACGCGGACAGGGCACCGTTCATCAAGCCACGCTGAGGTGGCATCCCACATGCCACAACTAGAAGGACCCACAACTAAAATATACGACTATGTACTGGGGGGCTTTGGGGAGAAGAAGAAGAAAAAAGAGAGAGAAGATTGGCAATAGATGGTAGTTCAGGTGCCAATCTTTAAAAAAAAAAAAAAAAGGAGAGAGAAAGAAAGAGATTCTGGTATAGGAACCTAGCAGTCCCTCCAAGGTGAAAATGCGTGGGCCTTCCGTCAAGGAGACCGTCCTTTGAAACCAGAGTCAGACGCACCAGTTATGTGGCTGCGGACCAGGATTTTCACCTCTCTGGGCATCAGCTTCCTCACCAGGAAAATGGGTTCTATGACGCTTCCTGGCCAGACTGGCAGGAGGACTTAAATGAGGTCCCAGTAGCATGGGTACCTAGTGCATAGTAGGTGTTCAGTAGGTTGGACTCCTTCCAGGATGGGGGAGAGTCTGTTCCTCTTTAACTGGACAGACAGTCGTCCTCCAGGGTCAAAGCAAGAAGGTGTGACAGCTCTAGATACCCCCCTGCCAGAGGACATAGGACTAGTGTTAGAAAGAGCCCGTGACAGGGCCCTAAGGCACCTGCAGTGTCCCCTCAACTCTGCCACTACCTGGTTGTGTGACCTAGGGCCACCTCCTCCCCACTCTGAGTCTCTGTTGTTTGTAAAATGAAGGCTTTGAAACCAGTCCACCCTTTTCACTTTTTTGGAACTTACAACTCAGCCTGGCCATCCGGTTAACTGGAGCCCTCCTGGAATTTAGGGTTCTTCCTTCCTTCCGGCCAGCACCCTGGAAGAGGAGAATTAGCCCTGCGGGGAGGGGCCCCATTCTAGGCAGCACACACCAGCTCCACGAATCTACGCTGGGCTTTGGGGCCAAGCTATGGTCAGACAGAAGCCGATGGAGTCTGTGTCCTGTCTTCTGAGCTGGGACAGAAGCCTTCATCACCTGCATAAATTAGGGAAGCCCCGAATGTCCTCTCCGGGCCTCTCCCGGAAAGCTGGGCTTCACCCTGGCTGCAGTCATCGGGGTCCTCAGCCCGCCCTTGACTTCTCAGGAGGTAACGAGCTGGGTCCTGGGGCAGGCCTTCATCCTTAGGTTTCCTCTCCAGCAAATTTAGATGGAACCCACCCAAGTGCCCCCTCCTCATACCACAATTCCTGCTTCCTTTCCTCCCCAAGTTGGAGCCCTGACCCCAGGACCCACAAACACTTGGAGGATGCTGAGCATCTGGCCCAAAGGGAGAAAGGTCGGCCTTGAATCAGCCTTGCTTAGAACAACGAGAACCACACATGGGATTTCCCCTCTCCCATCACGAGAGAGCAGATCCGAGGCCTGTGGGCGCAGCTCTCCCGGGAGAGGACGGCTCCACAGGTGTCGGAGAGATGAAAAGTGAAGGGAGACTCGTCTGGTGATGGGCTCTGAGAAGCACTTAGTCACGTTCTCTCGAAGCGCAGAAATGCCCTGCACATTCCTCTGGTGTCCAGTTTGCTTTATCACAGACCGATGCCCTGGGGAGAGAGCAAGGCTGATGACTTACAGACAGGCTCCAAGCCTGAAACCAGATTCTTCAGCCGGAGGGTGGTTCAGCTCTTCCACCCAACACTCGGTCATGGACGGGGCATGCCGGGTGATTCTGTTTTGGACAAATGCTGGCAACATTCCTCTGCTGGAATTACTACCCACACATCCCTCAATCCTGGGTCTTGCCCGTATAAATGAAGACACAGGGGTTGGTCAAGAAAGGCTGTGTTGGTTTTCTGGTCCTTGTCAGAATCCCTCAGCAGAGAGGCAATGCTTTTAACTGGCATGACCCCACCCAGAGAGCCTGATGGGCACCTGCCTCCAGCCGGCCTTCCTGAGGTGAGAGGCACCCCTCAACCTCGTCCTCGTGCAGTAGCAGGCCACTCCCAGGGCTCCATCCTCCGAGCCCGCAGACCTGCTCTTCCCGGGAAAACAGCAGGCAAACCTGGGGAGAGGGGGAGCGGGATGCAGCTGGGGTAAGCCGGACTTCAAGGCTTCCAGCAGATCCCACAAAAAAATAAAACTTCACGCATCCCACTCCTAGGAGGCGAGGCTCGGGAATAACGGGCATATTTAAATTCCACCAACAGGGGTCGCCCTTGGACGCGGAGCCTGAAGCTGGCCTCAGAAAAGGGGGACATTCCCAGCCCGGGCCTGGGGGCAGATCTCCAGGACTAACAGCTGCTCTTCCTGTTTTGCTCCGTGCAGATGAGGCTCCCCACCGAGAAGAGACGAGCCCTCGGTTTTTCTGGTGAGTGGAGGTCTGCCTTGGAATTTAGGACGAGAAGTCCTAGAACGCTGGCCAACCGCTTAGGAGTTCTGAAAACGGATTTCTACACCTTCCCCTCCAAGCTCATCTTGACCACAGAGAAAGAACATCCTTTCCTGTGTTTTCTAAAATACATGTAACCTTGTGCGTGTGTACGTGATGTTTTCATATCACATATTTCTTTTTCCTAAATGCAAAAGTCATATGTGTTCCTTGGGGAGAAAAAAACACCCTTTGAAAATTCAGAAAATTAACAAAGGAGAAATCGCCTAACTGCAAATGTAATGTATGTACATTACAAAAAGCTTGAAAAATAGAGAAAAGCACAAAGGAAAAATATCACTTCCACTCAAAGATCATCTCTGTTAACTTGCAGTATATGGCCAGTTATTTTCCACGTATAAGTTACACAGATAGATGCACAGATATGTCCATGTATGTGAGTATTCCATCAGGACCTCAAAGTTTAGCTCAGAACCCTTCTCCTCCTCTGGACTGTACATTTCGGAGAGCAGGGCGGAGCCTCTCAATTCCCTCGCTCACCGGCAGTGACTCCCGCACTGTCCAGAGAGAGTCAGCGTGTAGTGGGCATTCACATTATGGATGAATGGATACATGGATGAGCATTTTTAATTAAAATAATATACTTCTACACACAGTCCATGGAAGAAGAAACGCAAATGGTTCATAAACATTTGAAAAGAGGCTCAACTTTGCACATCAACAGAGAAATGCAAATTAAACTTACACTGAAATACCTGTCAGATGGGCAGAAATCTGAAAGCTTGAGGGTACCACCTGGTGGCTGTCGGGGGATGGGGTGAGGGTGGAGAAGAGATTCGTGCTTCATACGCTGCTGATGGAAGCTTAAACTGGTACAACCTCGGAGGGCAGTTTGCCAAGACTTATGAAAATGTACATAACATTCGACTCAGCAATTCCTCTTCCAGGAACTTATCCTATAAATATATTTGAACAATGTGTGCAATGACGTTATATGCTCCAGCCCTATTTGTAATGGTATAAAATTGGAAACAGCCTAAATGCCTAGTAATAGGGCTAATTAAATTATGTTACATCCACACAATGGCATACTATGCAGCTATTTTTTTAAAAAAAAAAAAGAATAAGGATAAATTTTCTGTACTAAAATGAAAACTTAAAGTGCAAGGCCATGTATATAGCAAGGTACCATTTGTCAAAAATGGAAAGGAAAAAGATGTATATTTGGGTCTACTTACAGATGCATAAGAAATAACCCAGATTGATACACAAGAAACTCATAATGTGGTTTCCTTTGCTGGTGATGGTTTCAGTGGGGAAGTAGGAAGACGGAAGGTAGGACTAGGAAAGAGACTTCTCCTTGTATACCTTTTGGTACCTTTTCATTTTTGAACCAGATAAATGTACTACCTAGGAAAAAAGTGAAAATTTTTAAATGGCAAAAATGTATAAGCCTTTTTTCCTGTAATAATATACTATAAACCTTTCCTTCAACAAATCTCCTTCAACATTATTTTTAATGTATACCATTTCCTAATATGGACATAATTTATGTGATCCATTCCCTATTACGGTCATTCAGTATTCTAAATAACGCTGTGATTTTGAACATCTTTGCACTTCTCTCTCATTATTTCTTTGGGATACATTCAAGTTTGCAACAACTTAAAGCTAAGTTACCCTCTAGGAAATTTGGCCCACGCTCCACTCCAGCGTTCCACACAGGAGAGGGCCTGTTTACCTGAATCTTCTCTAACACCTGCTGTTTTCTTTTTTTAACCCATTGCCAATTCGGTGGAAAAATATTGTGTTTCACTGTAGTTTTAGGGTTTTATTATATTTTTATTGAGTTTATGATAGTTTACAAGCTTGTAAAATTTCAGCTGTACATTATTGTTTGTTAGTCGTGTTGTAGGTGCACCCCTTCACCCTTTGTGCCCACCTCCCACCCCCCCTTTTCCCCTGGTAACCACTATTCTGTTCTCTTTGTCTACATGTTTAACTTCCACATATGAGTGGAGTCATACAGAGATTGTCTTTCTCTATCTGGCTTTTTTCACTTAACATAATTCCCTCAAGGTCCATCCATGTTGTTGTGAATGGGAGGATTTTATCCTT